TGAATGGGTGGTACCCGCTCAACAAGTGTTGTACTCCCATCTAATTGTTGTACTTCAAAAGACAGGAGATTGGAGACCTTTCATAGACCTGCCCCAATTGAACTCTTATCTGGAGCCGCCTCGCTTCTCCATGAAGTCCTACCTCTCACTTTGTTTTTTGTTTTCCCCAGGACTCTGGATAACCATATTGCCATGACTGATGCCTATCTTCATATTCTCACTGCTCCAGTGTCACATCAGTTTCTTTGATTCATCCATGACGGTCACATATTCCAATTCCGGGTGCTGCTGTTTGGTCTTTCTTTGCCTCCATGTGGTTTGTTAAGTGGTATGCTCTTTTGCCTGTCATTTTTCTTGTTGAGTGTTTGGACTCTCTTTTTTCCTGGTTGACTGGCTCCTGCTAATCTCTTCTTGTGCTCCTTTGGTCAGTCATGCCTGCTTACTTCTTCAGGAAGCTAATTGGGTAGGGTTTTGATCCAGTTGGAGAAGTCCATTCTTAACCCCACTTAACATTGGTTTTTTTTCAATTCCCATCTTTTTCTGGGCCCACCCTTCTCCACTTTGGCTCAGGGATATGGAGTGGGCAGTCTGAATGGTCCGAGCCTCTCCTTTTCTCATTGCGCAAAGGTTCTCTCTGTTTTGGGGTCGAGCTTACATGCATTCCTTTCAGTGTATGCTTCTTTACCAGTGGAACTTCTCCCATGATCTCTTGGACCATCCTATTACCTTTCCCTCTGGGAACAGGACCAACTTTGCTTGGTGGCTCCACAGGGAACCGACTACAGAGGAGGCTCCCATTTCTCCACTTTGTCTGGTGTCTCATCTGTTTACCAATGTTTCCTTGATGAGTTGGGGGCTTTCCTTGATTCCCAAGATATTTCCGGTCAATGGTCCATCAAGGAGGCTACTCTCTGTTTTCAGCATCTTTGAACTTTTGGCAGTTTGTCAGGCCCACTCCTGATGGGGGAAGGTGATTATTTTTCATTCTGACTATTCCTCTGTTATTAGCTATATCACCAAGCAAGGGGGAACCCAATCCCGAACTCTGTGTTTTCAGACTCTGGATCTTCTTCACTGAACCCACAACTACTACATGGCAATCTTGGTGTGTCATGTTCTTGGCGTTATGAATCTTTTGTCTAATCTCGAACAAACCAGGTTTTTCCCCATAGAGTGGTCCCTTCTTTCATGGATATTTTTGGTGAGTGTGTTCTGAACTAGGAACACCACATGTAGATGTGTTTGTCATTCACTGGAATGCCAAAATTCCTTCCTTTTGATATGTGGTTCCACACCCTTCAGCTCTGGAAGTAGATGCATTCAGTCAGAATTGGAGGGGTTTTCACCCATATTCTACCCTCCAATCAGCCTCCTTTCCAGAGTCTTTTCCCTTATCCAGACCACTCCTTGTCATGTTCTGCTGTTGCTCCATATTGGCCTACTCAGATTTAGTTCCCTCTGTTCTGGCCTTTACTGGAGTGTCATCCCCTGCCCTTACCTCTGTCCCAGTCTTTCCTCTGACAACCACAATTGGACATAGTCAATTCCAATGTCACCAAACTCCATCTTCATGCATGGCTTTTGTCTGGTCCCTAGCCTTCAGCTCAGGGACTCACTCCTTGTGTGGCATCTTTCCTTTCTCATTCCATTTGACCTTCCTCCTAACCTGTGTCCATTCGTCATGGCTTCCACCCCTACTGTTCTTTGGTACCTCATGTTTATCATGGTTGTTTCTTCAGGATTTGACTGTGTCAACTGTTTCCAGTTATAGGGCTGTGCAATCGAACTCCTTCCGATTCTCCCACTTCTTGACAGCTTCCCCTCCCCGCCATTTCCCTCCTTTTCAGTTGCTTTTGTCTTGTCCATCCTCCATGTCACCTTTTTTGCCATATTGGATTTCAATTTTGTCCTTAATGCCCTGTCCAGTTCTCCATTTGTTGTTATAATCATTATGGTACTGAACAATGAAGGGCCTGTTTTCCATGTTTGTCAATGCTGTGCTGTTTCGAGTCATGGTTATACAGCATTTTTCCACTGATTTGGTGCTGTATGTTTCTTTCCTGAATGTATTGGTGCCTGTCAATTCAGTTCCACCCTCTTTTTGTTCTTGTGTTAAGTACTGGGCGAAGAGCATACCTGCTACAGAAGTAGTGCTATACCCCACAGGTGTGCTCTCTTTTCATATTCTTGCATACCTGTTTTTTCAGTATAGTCGCTTTCTGCTTGAATTGATATTAATGTGCTTTTACCAGTTCCTCCACCTTTGCAATGTGGGATTTTAGCTTTGGGTGAGAGGAGGTAAGACTGTTTTGGAAGTTAACATTTTTTTTATATTGAAAATATACTTCTGATAGGTACTTACCTCCTCTCACTCACTTCCCACTGTTCCTACCCACTGATATGCTGGTGTTTCTGGTTTGTACCTGCCAATTCTGGAAGGTGAGGATTGTTCTAGAATACTAGAGATAGCTAGCTTTCTAATATAGATGGCACATTATGATTGGTGGAGGGAAGTCACATGATCAGCACATGTTCTGAAATGACATGTCAGGGTTTTAGTGTAAGTGGGCTGGGATTATTTTACAGTAGGTGTATGTGACTTGTTGACGATAAATGTCAACAATAAAAATGGGCAGCACACAATCCAATTGTTTTAAAATAATATATATTAAAACAAGTCAAATGTATGTACAAAAACTTGTTTCACTATTGTTTATCAAAGTTGTATCTTAAATTCTAAATAATAAACAGGCTGATTCAAATACTTTAGTATCCAATTGACAAGACAAATTATTTTTCTCTACTCATACTATACCATCTGCAATAAACTCACTTGCATTACTCCATAACTTTAAATAATTGTCTTCTTTTCATCAAAGTCCACACAGATGGGTTCAATTACTTTAGAACACACTTTGACAAGACAAATTATTCTCCTTATCTCAGGTTAAACTGTAAAATTCACTTTAAAATATTGCCCATTACCACTAAGTTAACAATCACACAGACTAACTTCACTTTCACTAACTTAACTTTTTCTGGCTTGTTGGTTACCACAGTTGTATCCAGAGCTTTAAATAATTCTTTCTTTGTGTTGTTGTCAAAAGTCCACAAAGGCTATTTCAATTACTTTAGAACCCAACTGACAAGACAATTTATTTTTCCTATCTCTGTTGTTACAATACAGCTGTGAAACAAACTATAGAAATCACCTGTTAAGGCTAATCACTCACACACCAGCTAAGTTTTTTTTCACTAACTTTTTTAAGTTGTTGTATCTGCACGTATTTATCACATGCAATAAAATCTAGAACTATCTGGCTTACAGTAGCAACAATATTACACATAACTAGAAAAATTTGGAAGCTTCGAGTAAGATGACGTCAACAATATTACTAAAGCCTAGTACAACAATCAAACTGCATACACAATGTATTACTCGTACAGAGTTACATAACAAACTTGTCATAACTATTATTTTTAAAATTATGAACTTTTAACACTTGTTATGAAAACTAAATAATCACTAAATAAATTAAATAATAACTATTAAGCTAAACAGTCTTGTATATCCAAAAATAAGCCCCTCTTCAAGAAAACTTTTCAAAATATTTGTTTATACTATATACAAAGACTATCCTCAGTTCACACACTAAGTCTCCTCATAGTCGGCACAAACATTTGCAGTTCCTTTGTTGGTGTCTCTTCACATAGGGCTTCAGCTTGACAGGATCCCTTGTCTTCATCTTGATCTTGTGTTGCCTGTATACTGACACGGTAGATCTCGTAGTTCTTTTCTTTCTTTTGCTTGCCAGTCAGTTCCTCACTGATGTTGATGTCTTTACATGTCTCCTCTCCACCTAGTAGTCTTAGGTCTAGTAGGTCTTCATCTTTTATGACAAAATCACTTAGAATAGTACCAAAAAGCTTTAGAATTTCATTAATTTTATTCTATGTAGTATGTGAAATCCTTCAAGTTTATATTTTATTCAGAACTGTTCAGTTTTAACAGAAAAAATTCAAATAGGTTATAAGGAACATCTGTGAAACCCTATCAAAATCCTGATAAATCCTTGAACTCCACTACTTTGGTTTATTATTTATTTTCAGATGAAAACCAAAAAATATTTCTGACATGTAAGCCCTGAACCAATGATCAATTCATTTTTAAGCTGAAGATCAAAGGCAATTGTACATTTAGTAATTTTTTATTTTTTGGTATTATACTTAATCTTATGTGGTGCATTTTTCATAATTATTAAAGTTGATTTCTTTAGCATCATTAACTACAGTTAATTGAAGACTATGTCAGAGTGACAAAGAATGAGATAACGTGAGGAGTAGCAGATAAAATGTTGCAATTTATGTTCAGACCTATTTACACAGTTCTCTGCACATAGGTTAACATTGGATTAAAAATTAAATAAATCACAAAGACTCACTAACCTAGCATGTTTGAATGTAGAACTTCATTTTTTCTGAAGTGAATTGGGAAGCTTATGACACATTATTTATATTACATCATCAAACATAAGTGTGTAATTTTAACTTATAAAATAAAAAGGGTATGTACTGATTTATGCTCAAAACCCACCATCACTTGCTTGAAGAAGTCTCAATAATCATTTAAAATTATAAATGTTCAAGGTAAAATTAGAAAAGTAATTTGAATATATATAAAAAAAAAGGAATTTAGTGTGGTAAAACTATTTCCATGTTCATTAATATAGTGTAATGATTTTAGCTTTTATATATATATATATATGTATGTATACGAAAGTATTTTCTTGGGTATTTATTTCCTGTTGTTATTATCACTAAAAAGAAGTATAATAGTTTTTTTTTTGTGCAATACATGTTAGATGGATGGTTTTTAAAATTTCATTGTATATTTTTGATAGCCATAACAAACTGCTGTTTATTTCAGATTTTTTTTTGAAAGTGAACTTACCAGCAAATGAAAAATTAAACCTGGATTTGTTATTGATTTTGTTTTTCAGGCACATGCCACAAATGTGGAGAGAAAGTTCTTGGAGAAGGTAGTGGCTGTAGTGCAATGGACCAGCTGTACCACATCTCTTGCTTTACATGCTCTATTTGTCGTAAGTGTTTTTATTTCTTGATAAATAAAATAAGATCAGGCTTTTACAGTATGATTTCTAATAAATAACAACAAAACAGAAATCAATTTACCATCAACTTTTTAGAACGTATATTTCAATTGTGTTTATATTTTCTTGAGAGACGAGTTTACATTGATGGAAGGCAAGCATGGTACTAAAATATTTGTGATTAAGCACTAATAACGTTAAAAAGTTGTAAATTCATAACTTAATACCAAACCTGAAAGGAAATTGCATTTAAGCAAACCAATCGTACTGAGGGACATGAGAAATTGAATTTTGTTTTCCTTTTAGCAGTAGTTTTTACATATATACAGTGCTACCTCTACAGTTTGCATATGTCTGTTCCTGGCCATGTGAGGATAGTTGAGTTTCCCCCCTCTCCTGAAACCTATGTAACATATATTTACTGACCATAATACATTCAAATTAGAAATAAGTACATAAGCAATTACATTAAAAAGAATAATACTAATACATAATATTACAATAAAATGTTACTTTTATGTTGATCTTGACGAGGAGGACATGGTAGTTAAGGGAAGAGGAGGAAGATGAAGTTAGTGCTCACCTTTTGGTCATCTTGGCCTGAGATAACAGAATGGTCATCAGCATTGTTGCGTATGACTGAAAATTACTTTAAATATGGGTGCTACTTGTAGTTAGATCACTATAGCCAGAGCTTGGGGATTGAGGAGGTGGCACTTGCTTTTTCAAAGCAGTGTGTGTGTGATCTTAGATTGAATTTGACTTTTTCATTGCATGTAGATTGTCTGGGATAACAACAAGTGTACGTTCATGAACTGTAATCAGTCCACAATACTATAAATGACTTAGCCTTTGTCAAACATATCAGTGAAGGAATACTTTTGAGGTTGTTTGTCATTGTCACTAGCATCTTGCAACTTGGCAGCAGGATTAGTGACTATCTCCACAATTTCAGTATCAGTAAGCCACCTTCCAATTGCTTCAGTGTTAACCACTGGTAACTACTGAGTTGCATGTATTCATGATATCTTCCATTGTTTTGTATTGCCTTACAATGAACCCTTTAATACTTTTGCAACAGGCATCCTTTACTGTGTATTTCACATGGTTTTTAGTGACTTGTGTGAAAGAATTACTTAAACTATTTTTTGTTTATGTTATACAAATTAATATTGCATAAAATCATAGCTAATAATCCATATTTTAATAGTATATAAGTTTTAAGTTTTTCATTTTATAATGCAATGTTTAAAAAATCTTGAATTTCCTCTAGTGAGAGAAATGTGAAATTTTTTCTCTAGGTATTCCCTCTTCTCTAATTTATTCACCACCCCTCCAATAAGTACAAAATTTAAGATAAATTACTCACTATCAAATTGTCATCACTCAGACAAAACGATTTTCATAGCCTTCAATCTTGTTTGGTTACAGAACCATCATATAGAAAATCAGACTCCTTTTGGCACACCCACCTGTCACATCATCTCTTTCAGGATTTGTTAATAGTTCTCTCTTACATTAATATTATATTACTTATAACCAATAGAAAGCCAAGGTTTTCATCTATCAAATGACATATTACATTACATTGTTTTATGAACATAGAATTGTCAATTTCTCTTTTAGTACAAGCTTTGTTCCCATTAGAAAGATATCGACTGGCGTAGATGAATTTGTAATGGCTCTTTTCACGTAGTTAGAAAGTCATACGAATCTATTTAGGTTACTTAAGGTTAGATTAGGTAATATAAATAATAATAATAATAAATTTTCATTAGCACACATGCGAGCAGCTCGGAGTACCTCATGAGTAATGTAATTCCATAACGTAACAATAGATTTTTTTACACCAAAAAATCTGATTTTTTAATGAAGTATTTTTACTAGAGCTTTGGTTGTGAATATAGAGTCCGTTTTATTGTTAGTCCAAGTGCAAAGTAATTTTCACGTTAAGATTAAAAATACTTTTCTTCATCCCAAAAATCTCAAATTTCATTTGCATAAATCTCAAACCTTTTAAATACATTTCAAACATTAGTTTTCAGTAAAACTTTATATTTTAATGTTATTTTAACTCTATACAAGGTTGGTCAATTTGACTGACCTCGTAACCACCAAAAAAATCTAAATTCCCCCTTTTTTTTCTTTCTAGAATGACTTCAAATTGTAACAGGAAACTACTTTTGCTGAGCCTATGTAGCTTTCAACTTATAACAGTATACAACTATTTATACTTCAATTTTGTTTTATTGCCCTTTGAACTGTGTCCAACTAATATTCATGCCACTAAGTTGTAAATCATCTGGAGAACATGGAAATCAACAAATTTTGTGAAGATACACGTACTGCATTAAAAGTTATAATATAAATACTTAACAAGTGCAAATGTGTTCAAGGACTTGGTATTTTATACCAAGCCCGTTGTGAAAGGGTTAGTCTTTTTCTTCAAGATTAGTTTCAAACATTATAGCTGACCATAATTTCCACCAAGATCATTGTAAGATTACAGGTGGTTTCACCTTCTCCCAAACAGCTGTCATTTCCCATATTGCATCCTTGATGATGAAATTCTTGGCACACAAGTCAGCTGTTAAGTAGCTGTTGACAAGGTAACTCTTGAAAGAGTTAAAATAATGGCTTTTAAATTCATGATCATACCCTGATCAATAGGTGGAATGAGATATGTTAAATTTGGGAGCAAAAACACTAAAAAAAGTGGTTGAATTAGCTCTGCAAGTTTCTTCCAGGTGTGACTTTGCACTGTCTTACAACAGCAGTACCTTTCTTTCTTCAAGTATCTTGGCTTACTTAAAGTGCTCTTTAACTTTCAAGGTAAAATATTTATCAAACCACTTGATAAATTTGCTATGTCATCCATGCATTCTCGTTGTGTTTGTAGTGCACAAGTAAAACTTTCACTTTCTTACGAGCCTGTGGTGTTGCAGATTCCTCTATCACTAGCAACTTCAGTTTGTGTTCCTGCAGCCTTTGAGCATATTAGTACAGTGAACTTATCCTTACTTTTCTTATAAACACTTGCTGATGGCTCATTATCACAAGCCAAGGTACAAGATGGCAATCAACTCCAGAACAATCCAGTTTCATCAGTGTTATACACTTGTTCTAGTGAAAAATTGTTCTCTCACAATTTTTTTAGAATCTTTAACATACTCGCAATGATAATATTCATACTGATACTTTTTCTCCTGCCAAGCTAACAAACATATGCCATATCACTTCTTAAAATATTTTAATTGTCTTTGAGAGTACTTGCACTTCTCTTCTTACTCCATTTTCAGAAGGAATACCTTACCCTTTTGCTTACAACAAAGCACCACTTATGATTTGACCTGGTGATTGAGCCTGTTTAAACCATTCATATATTGCACTATCTATGAGAGGAGTCCTTGATCCTCGCAATGTTTTTAATTTACATATATTTATAAGCTTTTGTAATTTCTACCTTATGTGTCTTTAAGTCATACACATTATGCAAACCTAGACTATAACGCTCCACTAATGGTGCCATGCTTTCACCCCCATCCAAATGTATGAGGATATTTGCTTTATCTTCTAGTGTTAAAACAACTTTCATATGCGTCTCAGACAATTGAGAACTTTTGGTAGTTGATAAATCATGCTTTAGACATATATCAAAACACTGTACTTAAGGTACACTGTAAATAAAGAAAATGTTAGATAAATCTGACACACAATAGTATAGGTATGAGATGATGTGATTACTCAGGAGGTGGTAGGAAGAAACCCATGTAGTCTGCATGTGTGAGCACCTCTTCTAGCAACAGTTGCAAACTTAAAATCTTTACTCTTGGACTTTTGCTTTTACAATTGCTCCTCTCCCTCATCACAGAAATGTGTGGATACTTGAAGTTTGTGGTAAGTTAAGTTACAGATAGTGTATAATACTTTAAAAGTGTCTAGGTAGTGAGCTGACATGTTGCCAGTTTTGTGTCTATGGTGCTTATTTTCAAAGATTTAAAAGTTTTCACACAGAGAAGCCTTGTGGATAAAGGCCATGAAACAAGTACAGCATACATGACGTCAAGCAAGTCTAACTAGTACCAAGTCAAAGAAATGCTTGAAATTCAATGATTCATATTTACACGGTTAAAAGCTTAATAAACCCATCAACAGCTTGCACTTAAAAACACTATGTTATGTGTTTCGATGCACTTTTATGTCGTGGACAAATGAAATTAACATATAGAATGTTTTTAAGTGAAAACTGTTTACTCTTTTATTAAGCATTTAATTGTGAAAATATGAACCGCTGCATTTTAATTACTCATTTGGTTTTATATATTACATAAGTGCCAATCATACATACTTGATGCCAAATGTAGCTAAAATGGCCTTGAAGATTTTTGTTCAGGATCAGAACTCAAAACTTATTTATTTGCTGACTGTTTATGCATAATATTTCTAATTGCCTTAATATGTAATGTAATCGAAAACCAACATGTCTTTATAGTAATCTTCCATGCATAAAATTTGCTAAATTGTAAAATCTTCACACTTGACCTTTGAAACAAATCTATGACTAATAAAAACTGTTGTTAACAGAATTCTCTAAGGAGATCTATCTCCTTCATTATTTCTATATTCAAAAATTTATAAATTCTTAAAAGCCATCTTACAAAGTGATAAGGTCCAAAATAATACTTTATTTACTGAGGAAGGATTAATACCCCCAACACGGTAAACATTAATGGTTGGTACCAGTCCATTTAAGAAGATCAGATTTATCTCTTATGAATATTAAAATGTACTAATACTTAAGAAAGTCTATGTAGAAAATAGTGTTCAGTGATATTTAAAGTAACATTGTATTTTGTTTGTGTTGATTTAAAGCTTTCACCATCAATCTTTTTACATTACTATTCATTTTTTAAGTGATCTTAGAAAAAAACTTTAATAGCCTTACTATTTAAGTTTTATAGACTGACTGACTGACCACTTTTGTTATGACCTATGCACTTATGCAATACTACGTACTTGCACATACAAAAGAGACAGATCATGTTATATGTCAAGTGGCAGCTTGAGCCTTATAATCACAGTGCATGACAATGGGCTGGAACATAGACCTGTTAAAACTGAGTGAAGCATGATAGTGACTGCTTGTCTAGCAGGAATGTTATTATTAAAAAAAATTTCTATAATCATGTGTTCAAAGATAATGAACTGGTCAGGGAGTGTATGTGTTAGCCAGTAGTTGGCATTACTATTATATTGAATAGGAGAATTGTTGTAATGTGTATTGTGTTTGGATACCATAAAGTAACTAATTGTTTTTCACTGTACTTTTATGTACCTTCAAATTTTTAAATGAAAACATATTTATTTATCTTTAAAGGATTGTAGGCAGAACACTTGTATTTTTATTCTATCAATAGTTACTGACATTTAAGCTTCAATTTCTTTTGAACTTGTAGAAATAATGAGTGCATATTTAAAGTCTTTATAGTTAAGATATTAGCTTTATCACAAATAAAAAATCTCAATGAAATCTATTGATTCGTATGTTTCAATTACTATGACTGATTTGAAGTAGAAGTTAATGGTAAAAATATCTGTGATTTTAGATAAACCAAGTGCATTATTTCATATTTTGTTTTAAGCCATAATGTGGGTAAGTCTCTCAGAAGTAAAGACAATATGATGTTATGTATGTTCCTGAAAGCATTAAAACACTGTTGAGTGAACAAAGGTTTTTGCACAGAGTACATTATTATTAAGTTTTTTTCCCCATATTTATGCATTCTAGAGATTCAACTTCAAGGAAAGTCATTTTTTGCTATGGATGGCCAGCCCTATTGTGAGGCAGACTACCTGGTGAGTTTGATTTTGGTTAGGTAGCTGTTTAAACATGAATGATAAACACTACAGATTGTATACTGAAAAAGTACAAAAGTTTTAGTGCATAATTGAGTCAATTTATTCATTGCCTTACTGTGGAATTGCAAACATTTAGAATGTTATTGTAAAGCATGTTATGTAATGGTGACACACCCCAATCATATAAAAATAACTTACAATCTAAATCAGAAAACTAACCACTGTGTCTTCCATTAATATAAAACTTTCTTTCACCATGATTTAATCTCTAATTTGAGGAAATCTCATTTATTCATATATTAATATTTGTTCCTTTCTGGACAGGTGGGACCCTCAGACTGCACCTTGCAACTCAACTGTCAAAACTTAATCAAACATTCAAATTATCTTTTCATTTCAACAATTTTTACTTGAGAATATTGTAGAATTTATATTTAAGCATTAAATATTGTTTATGTAATTTATTTCTTAGATAAAAATTAAATGTTCAAACTTTTGTTCCTGTTACATCACTGGGTGTCTGAACTGTAAACATTGTACTTTAGGTATTTTTTTAGCTCCTAAATATATGTTTGTTTTTCTTAATCAAATTTTATCACATTCAATCAGTTAACTTGACAATTATGCATTTACTGTTTATTTACCTTTGAATTGGTTGATCTCTCAGTTATAGTATCACCATTTGAAGTCTTGAGAACTTTGAATGGTTTGTTAGCTTTGAAAAGAGGTATAGCCTAAACCTAATAAATGTTAGAGCGGTGATATTTTAAGCTAGTTTTAATACTTAGTCAATAATATAGTAGTTTCATATGGAAATTAGTTAAGTTTTTGAAAATATAATAGAAGTTTCATGCAGTTAACTGTAATGAAACAATCTTAATACTTCCAAAACATTTGAAGAACCAGTTTTTGTTTTAGTTTCTGATGATGTTATTTTCATTACTGATAATTTTTTGTGTTATATTGTGTCCATTTGAAAACTACACAAATATTCTTCTGTGACAAGACATAATGTAAAGTTAATTAGGTTTAATAAGTATGGAAAACTAGACTTACAACAACAAACTATTTGGGTGTCAGTAATCCCTTTTTATGTTATTAAGTACAGTAGTACTTAATAGTAGGGATTGACAAGGTTTCCAAATAATTTATGTGCCGAAACACCACCCTATTGAATTCCTAATCGAAAATCTGACCATTCAAAGTATTAGTTACAATATATTATGTACATATATACTAATAACATGCTAAAAAGGTCACTATCATTTGTGGGAAAACAATTTGAAAATTTATAAAACAGCAACTTTTTTTTGTTTTGTTTATTACCTATCTACCTGATCACCTCAGTGGGGCTAGCCCCTAGATGGCTCAGACTATCACTACAAGATTTCTCCAGCTTACTTGACTGGTCTGTGGGTATACTCTTTTGATATTCTAATAAATATGTACAGATTTTTTATAAATGGTAAACATATCATGCAGGTACTTAAATATCTTTTAAACCCAGTTCAACCCAAC